CATGTGAGGCACGGTCAGAACCAGAAACCCTCTCAGTTACCGGGCTCTTGGTCACAGCTATGTGCGAGACACAGCAGGGGCCAAGAGCTCCATCAGTTGCAGGGTCTTTCAGTTCCCACTGTGAGTAAGGAGCCAGAACATGAGTCCTGTGTGGGCTAAGGATTTCATACCTCCCCCACGCCCCCTTTGGAGTCACAGCCACTGTGATCCCCAGGGCTTGGGGTTTTCATTCTGGGCAAGATGTACCCCTGTGCCTGAAAGCCCTGTCAGCTGATGGGGCTCCCAGTCACAGGAGAGACCCTGCTACACATGCAAATTAAAGCTCAATAGGAACCAGCTATAAAGTTAGTCCACATTTTTTAAGTCTAACTTTATAGCTGGTTGGAGCTTTTTATCATGTAATAGCTACTTTGCACATGTAGCTGGTCTGCAGATAACTGTGCAACTAACCAATTAATTGCGCAATACCTGTAATGCATAGAAGGGGCCTAATAGTTTTACTATATTGGCATCAGCTAATTTTCAGAAGTGCTGAAAAATCCATCGTTCCATTCAACAACTTGTGTGTGTTGCCTTAAAGAGACAATGCTCTTGGCCACTTCGTACTTCTGATGTTTTTCTTGCAGCTTAGACAGAAAACACAGTTGTAGGTAGGCGGCCATTGATCCTCTGGATCATATTGGACACATAAGCAGTCTAGTCAGATGCCTTATGAATCCATTTGTGGCTGGCAAGCCCAATTCAAGAGTGACACAGCTTGTTACAAGTTTCACGGATCTGTATGTTGTCTGAGTTGGAGTCCAAGTTTACAGCACTCTGCATTCTTCTTTCTTGCTTTGCTTCCATCCTCCGAATCAAAGCCACTTCATGCTGAGCTGCATCCAATGACAGATGTTGCTTCCAGATGGAATGGGATTCTGTGTGCTCCTCCCAGCTTTCTTTGTTGTTGTTGTTGAATACCTTCATATAATTTTTGCACACATCATGGTACCACCAGAGAGGGCAACTCCACTTTCTAAAGCAGTCTCAAATCTTACTATACAAAATATCCTTGGGGATATGGTCTCCTCCCATTGACCCGATAAGGCCAATCCATCACAACCTCCTCTTCTTGATAGTGATTTTGAAGAGTGTCAGTCCTGAGTGCTCCTGGGTTTGGTATTTTGTCTTCCCACTTTATTTTCAGGATCTTATGGTGACATCTCATATGGAAGCTGTTCAGTCTCTTGAGGTGCCTCTCATACGTAGTCTATGTTTTTGAGCCGTACAGCAGGGATGACGGCACACAAGTCTCATAGATTTGCATCTTCACCTAACTGGTGGTTGGCTGTTATCCCATGTATGTTTCTGTAATAGCCTGAAGAATAATGTGAATTGCTGAGAAGTCAAGCCTGCCCATCTTTGTACTTCTTGAAACAAACCAAAAGCAGCAAGTTCTGAAATTTCACTGTAAACATGATCTCATAAGGTTCATGTTTTCTAGATGAAAGTGGTCTGGAACAGCTTTGATAAACAAACTTCTATTATTTTCTGAGGCTGATTCATCATTACCCATTTACTAATTCAGTATGTTGCCCTGCATGCAAGGCCACATAATTTCCAGCTAATTTATCATGCTTGCATCTGTTCTCTAATTTATAGAGTAATGCAGTGCTCCGATAACATCAGAAACCACTTTAACCTGGATTTTAACTCATTATATTATATTATATTATGGAATAGTATTCCTACTTTTATTACTGCCTTTTGGTATGCTGAAATTGTATTCAAATTTTTGGTTTAAGGACAATTTCTTTATAATGATCACAAGGGATCTGGGTTTTTCATTTGCTGCAGAAAAATACTGATTTTCTCATTTGAAGGAGAAAAATGTGGATTTTTCCTCTTCAAGAGAAAACCATGGGAAACGGCGGGTTTTTCCTTGTAGGCTGGCAGACTTCCAGCTTGCAAGGAATTGCTTGGGGCTGGCAGGGAGTGGGGAGAGGGCAACTGGAGGCAGGAGGCACCACGTGCATCTACACGTGCACATGCATGTGGCCATACAGCTATGCAGGGTGGTGGGAGAAGCCCCAGCAGCTTGATGCAGGTAAGCCTATGGTGGGTGGTGGTGGGAGGGCTGGGGCTTTGGGACTGTGTGGGGAAGCATGCGAGAGAGAGGAGTGTGTGCGTGGGTGGGTGGGGGGCAGTGCCTGCCAATGCTGGGGGAAGGTGTCCAGGCACAGGGGCTACAGCAGGGCAGGGGGGAGGCACCTGTCCCTCCAGCAAGGGTAGGGGCAGAGAGCCCTTCAGGGGCAGCAGAAAGCTGCGTGGCCAGGCCAGCAGCACCAGGGACAGTGCCTGTGCTTGCAGAAGCGGAGCAGCCGAGAGACGCTGCCCCAGGTAAGGGGGGCATAGCCAGGCCACCTGGAACAGCACAGGAACCCCAGCTCAGGGTGGGAGTGCTATACTCCCTTCTTCCTCCCTTCAATCCCTGCTAGGACAGGACTTGCTCTGCCACCGTCCACATGAGTCAGAACTGCCACAGCTGCCACTCTAGACCGGGCAGGATGGAGCCAGCTGGGGGGGCAGGGGGTTGGAGATCAGCAGTGAGAGGTACCAGCAGTGCTGGGGGGGTACTGTGGCTTGGGAGTGCAGGGCACTGGGGAGGCGGGGGTCTGTGGGTCAGGCATGCAGGGTAGCAGTAGGGCCAGCAGGCTGCGAGTCAGGAATGACAGGCATCAGCAGGGATGGGGGGCTATGGGTTGAGAGTAAGGGGCACCAGCATGGCCCGGGAAGTGAGAGTGATTGAACTGATTGTGGGTTGGGAGTGAGGGCACTGGCAGGGCTAGGGGGCTGTGGCTTGGGACAGAGGGGCAACAGCATAGACAGTGGCAGGGCATCAGCATATCACAGCTCCTGAGCACCACAAAGCAGTGGCGGGGGGAGGGGCTGACAGCCACAGCAGGACCTACGTTCTGATGACAGAAGGGGGAGCTTTGATTTTTCATGATAAAAAAGAAAACTAAAATCAAACACCAAAATATATAGGTGTTTAGATTTTATTATAATGATTGAGGCACTGGTAGGCTTCCAAATTGCTTTAAGATTGTATATCAGTAAAACATGGTGTTAAATTGATATCTTTATACAGTGACGTTTTATTTTAAATAGCAGAAAAATGCAGATTGGGGGGTTTTAAATGAGGGATTTTATCAGAGAATTTGCAATTTTTAAACAGAGAATACTAGGATCCCTAATGATCACCAGTAGCTATAGATACAACTGCATATAAATAAATATCTACAAAACAATGAAACATCTGTCTAAGTTTCCACCAAGTTAATGGGAACCTGTCCATTGTCTTTATGAAGAAGTAGACTGAGCAAATGCAGTAGGACATCTACTTATATTGTTGCTAATCCATTTTAAACTTCTTGTCCTCTCCTACAAAGTCCTACGGATTTATCCTCAACCTTCTCCTTTAACGTGTCACCCTAATCACCCTTCCTCAGTGATGATAGCCTCAAAAACATCATTTATCTGTTTCACCCACAAATTTTCTCCCTAGCATTCGTCCCTATTCTGGTCTGCCAGGTACCTCTTCATTCATATTCCTAAAGTTCTGGATCAGTCATGTGCCTCGGAAGCAAGTCAATAAAATTAATGTTTGGGCTGTTTTTCCCACAAATCCCAGACCTTCCTTCCTTCCTTTGAGCTTCCAGGTGTGTCTTTATTTTCCATTTCTTATCATCTTGAAATCAGAGCTGGACACCTTTCTGGCAGATATGGCTTTGTCAAAAGACAAAGTAATTGGGCTCAATACAGGGGTAATTGGATGAAATTGTACAGGAGGTTAGACCAAATAATCTAATGGTCTTTCCTAGCATTGAAATCTACAGTTGAAATCAGTAGGGTTACCTTATTTAGTTTATAAATTCTTCACAGTGTGAACTGCCTCTGCTTTGTGAGAGTATGGAACACCTGGTAGGCACTGAAAGAGTTAACCTAAAGACTCATTAACACTTTTATGACACTTATGAAATTCTTAGGTCTTTGTTAGTTTTACATTTGTTGCTTTTATTTTCCTTCCTTTTCTAGAGGCTTTAATGAAAGAAAATAGCCAGCAATCAATAAGAGGAAATTTGTTCAGCAGAGAAAATAGCCTAAAACTGGCTTCCAGTTGAACAGTCAAAATTATATTGCTAGTGAAAGTAGCAAAGAAGATAAGTCAACTTGAACTGCTCTTGGGAGAATCGTTATTGACAGATATGAGGATGATATAATTGCTAAAGATGAGCAGATTTTTCTTTTATCTCGATAAAGCACTTTTGGATGAAAAGATTGGAAAGACAGGTGCAAGACAATAGCATAAGTCTGTTACCAACTTATTTACATAACATATAAAGAAGCATTGATGTATGAAGAGTAAAATGAATATATTGAATACTGAAAATAAAGCATTACAGAGAACAACTTATGCATACTTCCTAGCCATAAAACAGCTTAGTATTTGATTAAATATATTTGCCTGTTGAAGGGAGACACTGATTTTATAAAAAGCTGAGTGTGCATTTTTAAGGAAACAGAAAATTATCTCTTTTATGCAAAGTTACCCATACAGCTGCATCTTAAAATGTTTTGCATATAATTGTGTAAGGGATATAATTTCATAGCAGTGGAGACATTAGATGAATATGCTCAACATGGAAATCTTGTTGTACATATTTTATCTTTCAGTACCTTCTGGTATTATGCATCCCCTGGCATTTCTATTTGAGCTGCTATGGTGCCATATTTGACAGGCTTTGATCATCAAATGGTTTTTTGGAGTTTAGTCTACATGGGATATTGACTGATCAGATAGATGAATGGGTGGGTAAAGACATGACATTTCCTTTGTTTCCTTTTAACTAGATTATACTCATATTTTTTTCTTTTTAATTAAAAAAATGCCCATTTTAATAGAACTGCCTGCTACCATCAATGTGCTTATCAAAGATGCTCCTTAACAGACTTCACAGATATCTGAAACCTATTTTAACCCATGCCGGTCCACCTCTTACAACAACGTTACCAGAATGGTGTAATCCTGTTGCCAGGCTACTGACTAGCCCAAGAGCATACGGAGTAAGTACATTAATTAAGCTTGCTGAATGGCCATTAGGGCTTGATCTAAAGCCCATTGTAGTTAAACAAATGCCCTGCATCAATTCTAGTGGGCTTTGGATCTGGATCGTTCACAGTGCTGGGAACCAGGTGATTGTTTCATGGTCGAACAAACTTTAGTTCAAGTGCCCCTGTCGCTATTTTGAAGCATGGGTACGCCGATGCACAAAACTACAACATTTCAATTAAAGCAGCTCTCAGGACTGCTCTAATTAAAGCACCACCCTGCCCACCCCCAGAGCACTTGTGTCTTCAACGATGTGTCCGTAAGGAACAAGGCAGCATCCTGTAGCACCCTGCAGTATGTAACCAGAGCTAGCACCCTCTGTCTTCACACAGCACAGCCTTGTGCTATATAAGGATATCCCCAAAAGATATTTATATTCCTGATTCTCAAAGTCAATAGTATTTACTGTATTCTTTCAAATATAAGATGCCCTTGAATTTAAGACAAGCCTAATTATTTTACTCTTGATATAGAGAAAAAAGGAAACATGAAATACATATGTGTAGATAGAGTTTATTTTTACTTAAATTTAAGGCAGACCATTTTTGGAAGAAACATTTTGTTATAATAAGGGTGCAGACAAATACAGGCAGTCCTCAGACTTACAACACAATTGGTTCCTGAAAACCACATCTTAAGTCGAAATGTTGTAACTCGGAACCAATTTTCTCATAAGAAACAATGTTATAAATGGGGAATTGATTCCTGAATCAAGGCCCGAAACCCTATTTTCACCAGAAATACCCCAGAATTTTGTACTCAATCAATTATAGATTAGTAATATAGCTACATTAATGTATTTATATTGTAAATAGCAATCATATTGATTTGGAAGGATTTCTTTGAGGTGACTTTGCTGGATTTTTTAAGGTCTCTTGGTTGGACTTTTTGAAGGGTTCTTGGCTGGAGTCTTCTCAGGAGTCTTGTCTGCTTTCTTAAAGAAAGTGTCCAAGGAAGTTTGGATAGATGTTCTCCAGGGAGATGGGTGACATCTCCAGGGAGATGGTGTGGCATCACATCAGATCAAGCATTGTAAAGTCAAAACTGATGTCAGAAAGTTGAAACAGGGTGTCAATTTATAAACGTTGTAAGTGCAAAATGTTGTAACTCAAAACGTTGTAAGTTGAGAACTGCCTGTATAGTGATTGAACCATTCCAAGAACACCACTGATTGGGATCCATTTCACAACTGCCCCTCAGTAGGGTGCCAGGCTCATTTGGGGTAGGAGCATGATGGAGGGTAGAAGGGTTACCAGATGTTAGGGGCGGGGGCTGGGTAAACCCCTACTTATGGTTCCCAGAAGGATCTGGGTGCTCTGTGGTTGTCCCCACCCCCCCAGGAACTCCACTGCTTTTCAACCTCTGCCCTGAAATCTGTGTAACCAATTCCACTGCCTGTGCTGCAAGTCCCAGGCTCATTGGGGTATTTGGGGCAGGAGAGGTGAGAGTGGAAGGCTTGCCAAGTGCTGGAAGGCTGTAGTGCCCTGCTTATGGTGTTTGAGGGTCTGCATGTTCTGCCCCACCCTCAAAATCCCTGCTTTTTTGCCTGTACTGGAAAGCATTTTGCCCATTTCATTTCCCTGCAGGACCCTGTGCTGCAAGGTCCCAGATTCACTGGGGAGCGGGGGTGTTCTAGGGGCTCCCCCAAGAACTCCAGGGTTTTCCAACCCCTGCCCTGAAAGCCATTTCATCCATTCCACTTTCTTCCACAGACTGTTCTGTAGGCCCCAGGCTCATCTGTGGGGGGAAGAATGGCAGGTTAGTCAAGTTCTGGGGGTGCTGTGTGGCCCCCTGCTTGTGGCACCCAGGGGCAGGGGGATGTGGTGCCCAGGGTCCATAGCAAGGAGCTGATGGACATGGTGACTTTCCAAGGGCTGGAAAAGCTGGGGAGTTCTTGGGGACCCCCTAGGAACCACAAGCAGGGGACCACACATGTGGCCATACACACAGAACCTGGCAATCCCTCCAGTGCCACTACCCCCCTGCCTGAGACCACGCAGCAAAGGGTCCTGCAGGGAAATGACATTGACAAAATGCTTTCCAGGGCAAGCAAAAAAGCAGAGATCTTGGGTAGGGGTGGGATGGCCAGAGCATGTACCCTCTGCCCCCCAGCAGAGGGTGATTCAGCCCCCCACAGCACCTGACTACCCTTTCACTCCCACCCCATGCCCCAAATGAATCTGGAAAGTCAGCACGGAAGTAAAAATGACTAAATAGCTTTCAGGGCAGGGATTGAAAAGCTGTAGAGTTCTTGTGGGGCCTTCAGAGTACCCAGCACCCCAGGAACCATGACCAGGGTGATGACAGAGTCCCCCTTTCTTCCCACTGCACCGAATGATCCTGGAACCCCTGTCCAGGGTCCCTAGCAGGGAAGTAAAACTAACACAGAGACTTTCCACTTCCCTCCCCTTGCAGACTGTGGGTGCCCTAGGCAGTTGAGCCCCGGCTGCATTCCAAAGCAGTCTTTGCCCTGCATGTATTTGGAGGGGGAGGGAGGAACAAGAAGTGGTGCAGTCTGACCAAACACTAGGCATAAAGTGCTCTATGCCCTCCTATAACAGCACGCTGGTTCACAGAGAATCAGCTCAAAATAGTGCTTGATTTTCCCAGTGTGCTTTTAAAATGTTCCAAGAAGTTAAGGCCGTCTGAATTAGCCTGAACATGTAGGTTTTAGGGTTTAAAATTGTATTTAGAATTTTCTAGGACTTACACCTGCCCAGGCCCCAAATGTCTTAAATTTAAATGAATATGTTATTTATCTAAATCCTTTTTAACAGCTGGTTTCCAATAGTACCTGAAAGCAGGATGTGGCAGGCAGTCACGTTCTTCAAACTTATTAATATAAATCATCAAGATGAGGTCATTATGACAAATGAATCATTGAAGCATCTGGTATGAATCAACTCCACAAAAGTTAATAAGAACATAAACCATCAGGTCCATTACTAGTTTAAGTTGGAATAGAAAAGCTGTTTCAAGAATCCTCTTTACCAACCAGAGATATTTTTGCTTTTTAAAACACCCAGGATCAGCTGAAGGATGACGACATGGACTGCATCGTAAATAATGATGAACTGACTGTGAATTATGATGCCGGAGCACCTGCCCCAGTGCCAGCACAGGACCAAATAGACTCACCCCAGACTCCAGGCAAAGAAAACATTCATGAAGGAGACCTTGGATTAGGAGGATATGAACTCCAGCTTGAATACACTCCAGGTCAATCCCAGTTGACTTCTTTGGCATGAATAATATAAATGTAACCACAAGAAATGCAAGGAAAACAGAGGAGTACAAGCCAAATATATTAGGCAAGAGAGAGAATAGAAAATGTATTAAAAAGGGATAAATTGAAGAAAATCAAAAAACTTTGTCAATTGTATCCCATGTTGCCTGAAGGAAGGCGAGTTTATCATCATCTATCCATATTATACGGCTACATTTTTTTTTTTTTTTTATAAAGCAGCAATTTTCATTAATGAAACTGTGGGCACTGTCCGTCTCTTACAGGGGCATTACTGGTACACTTACTGTCTCACATGACACTTATTTGTACCATTCACCTCTCAAACATACATATATAGACTTTACAATATAATTATTTCTCTTACTTAATTCAATAGGTAGGAAGAGCTATTTCCTGTTCAGATCATCATAGACTATTTTATATTTGCTCTATCTTGAGGCAGGTGATGAGTGGTGGGTTTGTTTGGGGGGGTGTTTGTTATAGGGAGGGGCTTTCATTTTTTTAAAACTAAAAATGAAAAACTTTCAGCAGCCCCCCCATGAAGTATTAAACAAGAGTATGGACAGATGGTCATGTACTCCAGTGTAATGTACATCAGATTTGTAAATAGTGTAAATAGACAGATGCACTGCTATCCCAGGGTAGTTGGCACTATTACAGAACTTCACCGCCACATAAGGAGGAGTGGGAAATAGCCTGTGTACATTTAACAAATGGCTACCCCAGGATGGGTGGAGAGAGACAAATCCTTAAACTGGTATAATTCACCTCAGTTGCATTTTACTCCGAATTCTCTCAAGACATAAATCTCCAGATTAGACAAAATTTACCCCAGGTTAGAGGCTTATATTGTCTATCAACTGTTTGTTTCTCCTCTGGGTAATGTAGATTACACCTCTAAGTATTTTGTATGTCCACACCCAGAGATCCCTAAAATGGATGTGCTCAAACATAACTCACTGCAGGATTTGCCACCTAGGTGAAACCATGGGTTTAGATGTCTCAGTTCCCCATGCACTGTGTGTAGAGAGTCAGAGTATCTCTCTCAGTCTTGTTGCCAAGACAATAAGCCCAACCGCTGTACTCCTTTTCTAGGTAAATCAGCCCCAAAAACTAGGTAGTGAGAACACCCTGAAAGGGCCCAAGCCACTAAAAATTCAAATCTTGAGTACAGTAGTAGGAACACACAAAGGCATCTTGCCCACATCATTTTTGAGGAAGATGTTATGGAGCAGGAACAAGAGCAGGCATGGATGGTTAGTGTTTACTACTTTGGCAGTAAAGCTGAGTTTTCAAGGCTTGTGTAGACATAACGTTAAGCACCCCAGCATGCTAAAGGGAAATGCTAAGTAGAAGTGTGAGTCAAACTCCACCCCTCTAGCACTTAGGTACCTTGCCATGTGCTGCATAAAGATGACTTCAAGAAGGTGATCTGCTTTCACACCTGTGAACTTTCTGCTGAAGTAAGATGTCTCTACCAAAACTCTCATCAACAGGACCATCCGCCCTAACCCAGTAGGTAGGGCACTCATTGGGATGCGGGAGACCCAACTTCAGTTCTCTTCATTACTTGAAAGGGATCTGAAGATGCATCTCCCATCTCCCAAATGTACCCCCTAAGTACCATAAGGGTGTTCTGATCTGATCACCTCTCTGCTTCTTCTGTTGAAACTGTTTAATTTGGAAATGAACAAAATAATTATTCACTGGGCCAGAGAGAGAAAGAGAGATAATGCACAGCAATGATCATGACTCTGTGGTCTGAGGGCTAGGCCACTCATCAGGAGAAAGGATGAGAGCTCCAGTCTCTGTTCTAATGACTATTTACTATAATGTCAAAGCATTTGTTGGAGCATCTAAACTCTTCCTCTTCTTTATTTATTTTTTTTTTTTTGGAACTAGTGTTTAATCCTTACAGTACTTGGCATTTTCCAGATGGCCAATCCAGTGGATGCCTCAGCAAAAGCATGCTTCAAAGCCTATGCTGCAAAAGGTGTAAAGACACCAGACGGACATCAATGTAGCTAGACTGAGCGGCTCATAAGATCAGAGACGGAACCCTTTTTTATTATTACTGCGTCGATTGTTCTTCACAGTAGTAATCATGCTCAGTTATTTCTATTCAACAACAGATTTTCCATTGGAGATTGAGAGTATGTTTTTTATACAACTCGAATGCTGGAAAAAAATTAACATTTTTTTCATTATGTAACAGTATTTCAAGTATGCTTTGATTTTGGGAGCAGTATGTTTGTGTGCTTTGTTCTGGGAATGGGTTCTCCTGAACAGCTATTACTAGAAAAGAGTTTACATTTTAACAAGGACATTTTTTTGTTCAAAGTCAGGTGTGGTCTTCTACACATTTATATTATGTGTGCACATGTTGAGAGAGAGAGAGAAAGAGAGAGATTGATTTAAGTGTGGAAATACCAGCTGTTTCTGCACAAATGCAACATCTGAACAAACAGATGGTCAGTCACTCACATAACTGCATGTGATATACCAGGCTCAGGCATTTGCACATATAAATTTGATACAACACACAGGGTTGTACCTCTAACAATAAAGTCTGGCTCTGTATCTTGTCTCAATTCAACTCAGATGCAGCATACATTTCTTATCCCATTTCACAAAACCACCCCTACCACACCAGTGGGGTGGCCTTATTATAAACTCACTTAACAGAGAGAGATGTTTGTAATTGATAAAAATAAAAATGGAATCACCCCCATCAAGGCATGAATGATCATAAAGCTAAATGGCTTTCGATTCTATCACAGATGGAAGATGAAACATGAACTTAAACATAATTAAGTTTAAGTCAGTCATTCTTTTCCAGGCTAATTACTTGTGGCGTGGACTTAATACTTAACCAAGCTGTTTTAAGCATAAACTTTAAAACACTGCAGTTCTGGGAACACTCACTGGTCAAAGGCTTAGAAAGACATTTTATTTTCCCCAAAATACTAAGTTGGGGGACTTCAAAATATATTAACCTTGATGGGGGATAACTGAGGGAGGATTGTTTTGGGTTTTTTTATCCCTCTCATGAAAGATAGTAAAGTCCTGAGGAAAAGCTGCAGATTTGCACCTCCCTTCATTGCCATGCCTTGCTACACAAGATGGCGGAAGGTTTACACTGGGCTCCCTGAAAGGAAACAGGGGGAAACAAACAAAGTACAACATTATGGCCCAATTTGTACATGGGGCAGGAGGAGGTGATGAGCACCTGACAGCCCAAGAAGGGGAGGGCAATACAGCAGTGCACAGGCAATCCAGGAAGTTTTGGAGAGTGCTGGGGACAACTTCCTGGTGCAAGTGCTGGAGAAGCCAACTAGGGGCCAGGCTCTTCTTCACCTGCTGCTCACAAACAGGGAAAACGTAAGGACCCTGGACTTCACAAAAGCAGACTAAGACTCGCTAAGTGGCCTCATGGGCAGGATCCCCTGGGAAGACAGTCTGAGGGGGAGAGGAATCCAGGAGAACTTTAAAGAAGCCTCCCTGAGAGTGTAGGAAGAAACCATCCAGATGTGCAAGACTAAAAACTATGGCAGAAACCCAGCTTGGCTTAGCAGGGAACTCTTCAGCAAACTAAATCATAAAAAGGAAACTTATAAGAAGTAGAAACTTGGACAAATAACTAGGGAAGAATACAAGAGCACTGCTTGGGCAGGCAGGGATGAAGTCAGGAAGGCCAAAGCCCAGTTGGAGTTGCAGCAAAGAAGGGATGTGAAGGGAAACAAGAACAATTTCTACAAGTATGCTTATACCAAGAGGAGAATCAGGGAAAGTGTGGGTCCATTACTGAATGGATGAGGCAACCTTGTTGCAGAAAAAGCTGAAATACTCTGTCTTCTTCACCTCAATTTTCACAGGTAAGGTCAGCTCCCAGACTACTGCACTGGGCAGCACAGTGTGGGGATGAGGTGAGCAGCCCCTAGTGGTGAAAGAACAGGTTAGGGACTACTTAGAAAAGCTGGATGTATGCAAGTCTATGGGGCTGGATGGGATGCACCCAAGGGCAATAAGGGAGTTAGGCCAGTGTGGTTGCAGAGCCATTGGCCATCATCTTCGAAAATTCATGGTAATCAGGAGAGGTCCCAGATGATTGGAAAAGGGCAGACATAGTGCCCATATTTAAGAGAGGAAAAAAGGAGGAGCCAGGGAACTGTAGAGGAGTCAGCCTCACTTCAGTCCCTGGAAAAGTCATGGAGCAGATCCTCAAGGAATCCATTTCTAAGCACTTGGAGGAGAAGAAGGTGATTAGGAACAGTCCACATGGATTCACCAGGGGCAAATCATGCCTGACCAACCTGATTGTGCTCTATGACAAGATGACTGGCTCTGGGGATGTGGGGAGACCAGTGGATGTGGTATACCTTGATTTTTAGTAAGGCTTTTGATACAGTCTCCTACAACATTCTCACAGGCAAGCTAAGGAAGCATGGGCTGGATGAATAGACTGTAAGGTAGATAGAAAACTGGCTGCAGCATCCAGCTCAGAGTGTAGTAATCAATGGCTTGATGTCTAGTTGGCAGCTGGTATCAAGTAGAGTGCTGCATGGGTCAGTCTTGGGGCAGGTTTTGATCAATGTCTTCATCAGTGACCTGGAAAATGGTATAGAATGCACCCTCAACAAGTTCACAGATGACACCAAGCTGGGGGGAGTAATAGATATGCTGGAGGGTAGGGCTAGGATTCAGAGTGTCCTAGACAAATTGGAGGACTGAACCAAAAGGAATCCCATGAGGTTCAATAAGAACAAGTGCAAAGTCCTGAACTTAGGATGGAACAATCCCATGAACTGGTACAGGTTTGGGGTTGATTGGCTGGGCAGCAGCTCTGCAGAAAAGGGCCTGGGGGTTACAGTGGACAATAAGCTGAATATAAGCCAACAGTGTGCCCTTGTTGCCAAGAAGGCTAACAGCATACTGGGCTCCATTGGTAGGTGTGTTGCCAGTAAGTGAAGGGAAGTGATTATTCCCCTCTATTCTGCTCTGGTGAGGCCACATCTGGAGTACTATGTTCAGTTTTGGGCCCTGCACTGCAGAAAGGATGTGGACAAATCTGAGAAAGTCCAAAAGAGAGCAACAAAATGGTGAGGTGGCTGGAGGACATGACTTCTAAGGAAAGACTGAGTGAACTGGGCTTATTTTCCTCTTCTCTAGGCTAAATGAGAGGGGACTTAATATCAGTCTTCAACTACCTGAAGGG